TTCGTCTACTGATGATATAGCCTGGGACTGCACTGGGCAGACGCCGCTGCAGGTGATTTTGAAGGGGGAGAAAAGTTATTTTCAAAGCTCAGATTGTACATTTAATAACATGTTACAGTTTCTCATCATGCTGCTAATGTGAACTGATCTGGGTGGTGCAGGGCAGTAACGCCTGGAACTGGCTGCATGTGACTGGAGTCACATGGATGAGAGCCCACTTTGGCGCACAAGTGACTATTTGTAAAGAAGAGGCCTATTTGGAGAAGGTGAGAGCTTGTTAACTTGGGTGGTTATAAATGGATTATGCGATTATCTCCGACTCACTCCCCCGAACTGTCAGTTTACAAGAACCAGTGCCTGCCCTCTCTTCACCTTCCTTAGACCGTGAGCACAGACCCAGAGCGCTCGTCTTGTCCTGAGAAGAAAATCCAGAAACACATGAACACCCCAGTCCATTTTTACTCTTCAATGGGATTCTCAGAATCTTATCAAGAATTTAGGCCACTCAGTTCAAACTGAGGTTCTTTGGTGGGAGGCATGAAGCCCAATTGTCAAATCAGGCTGCAGCAGAAAATTTTCACTCACAGCACACAGGGCCAACCTTTTTGCACAATATGGGAACGGTGTTAGAAATATTCAGTACTAACCCCTTCTTAGTATTCCTGCCTGAAATGCAGAACGTGACCTGACCAATTATGAGGAAATATCACATAAACCTATTTAAAGAACATTCTGCAAAATAACCATATTGCACTCTTTAAAAATGTCAATGGCAACGTCCAGCTCTATCAACTGTACAACTCTCGAGTGATGTTCATTTTTAAAAATCTTCTGCATGGTTATTGCTTTTTCCCCAAATCTGTGATTTGTGTGGGAGGAGTCACTGGGCTTTGCCTAAGCCCTAACGCAGTGTCTGAGCTGCAAGAGGGCAGCAATGAAGACCTCCAAGCAATAGGCAAACTCAACGGAAGGAACAGAGACGAAGGGAAACTGCATCCGTGTGGCAGACCTGAGGTCAATAAACGAGCCGCAGCAAAACGTCTTCCTGAAATAATCAAGCTCAACACTGCATCCCCTGAAAAGAAGTGTTCTTTTCAGGCAACAAACCATCTGTTTCAAGTGTTTAGAAAAGGGATCTCCAATCACTGCTAATTTAAACTTCCTTATACCCCAGTTCAATGTTTGATAAGAAGAGAGTGCTAACAGGACAGGAACTGAGTTACTATATTAAGAAGCCCAGCCAGAACAAAAACCAGCCCCCTGCTGTTGTTTTGTTTATGCTGCAGACTCTTCTGTTTTAATTAACATAATATTTACACGAGACCAGCTCCTGTTACAGCGTTTGCTGCAAGTGTCACATGTTTTGTTCTTTGTTGTTGTTTTTGCTTTTTGAAACTGTTCCTGCAAAACACAGTTGAGACTATGCTTGAATGAAGTATATACACAGGGAGATCACACCATAGTATCCTTGCTCCCAAGGGCCAAGTCCACCTGCTTCGTGCAGTTTGAGGTCAAGTATCAGGTTGCCAGGTAGGATGCAGGGTGTCCAGGTACGTTACAATCTCAGATAAACAAAGAACAGATTGTTTAGTATAAGTCTGTCTCAAATATTGCATGCTAAAAACCAGTCTGTTTATCTGAAATTCAGATTTAAGTGGGTGCCCTGTGTTTTTATTCGCTGAGTCTGGCAGCCTTCGTCAGATGTTGCTCAGAAGGCTACATGAGTGGAAAGAGCCAGAGACAAATGGAATAGTTATCCCCACCATTTCCAGATGAGCAATTCGCAGGATCATAAATCGAGCCTATCAGGGTTCATTGTGAAAGAGCACCTTTGAGATGGAGTTGAAATCCACTTGACCGTAATACCTGCCAATATGAAAACCGCAGCAATACCTACCGCATCATCCTCCCCATTTCCCGGGCCATCTTACCTTCAAAAATTCTCTTTTTCATGTTGACTTTGCTTATTTTAGATTTTGTTACATTCATAAAAGTGAAATTACTGCAGAAAGAGTTATGCACATTTAGAATTGATCATTCTGAGAGATACTAGCAACTTACTCTCCAAAATGTTTACCAAATGATAGTCCATCAGCCGGTACAAGAGTGCTGGTTCTGTACAGTTTCCAATGTTCAAGAACACCATTGCTTTTCTTAGTGAAGTCTGATGTGGCTGAATCGTGTCCCCTAAAAAAGATGTATTGAAGTCCCAACCCCCATTACCTCAGGGTGCAACCTTATTTGGAAATGAGGTCTTCAAGGAGGTAATCAGGTTAAAATGAGTCCATTAGGGTGGGTCCTAGCCCAGTATGACTTGTGTCCTTATCAAAAGGGCAAATCTGGACACAGACAGGCAGGAACACAATGAGAACGCCAGGTGAAGACAAAGGCGGAGATCAGGGAGAGGCGTCTCTAAATGAAGGAACTCCAAAGATTGTCAGCAAACCTCCAGAAGCCAGGGGAGAGATGAAACAGCTTCTTCCTCCCAGCCCTCAGAAGGAACCCACGCTGCTGACACCTCGATCTCAGACTTCCGGCTTCCAGAGCCTCGAGCCGATACGTTTCTGCTGTTCAAGCCACGCAGTGTGCGGTGCGTTGTTACAGGGGCCCCAGCGAGCTAACACAGATGCTAAGTACGACACACTTAATTACATACATTTAAATGTATTTCTTTAATGATGGGTGAGTTTGACTATATTTTCATCTATTTCTTGACTAATTCTCTTTGTTCCATCAATAGACTTGTTCTGTCTTTAACTTATTGTTTATATTGCTTATATTCTTCTAACTGATTAATTGGAGCTCCGTGTTATGCTTTGCTATCAATAGTTTCCTGTTTGTTCCTTACCTTTGAAGTTTTCAAAAATATTACACTTTGCTGTTTAAAAGTTTTACGTGTTTGTGTAGTCAGATCTGTCCGTCCTTCCCTTTGTGGCTTTCTGGTTGCGTGCATTACTTTTAGAAATGGTTTCTCCATCTCAAAATTATTAAAATGCCTTTCAGCACGGTTTGGCTTAATAGAGGGAATAGGAAAGTTTCTCTTGACTAGGGCCACCACCACCCAAATCACACTGGGCCTGAAAAAACGTCAAAGTTTCACTTTTTTTGGTAAAAATTCTTCAAAACCCTCCAGTTTCTCAATTGCCTCTCAGTCTGCATTCCTTGTGACCTGATATCCGGTGGGCTACTCCTTCCGTAATGCCCAGGGAACCAAGGGGTCAACCCCGTGTTCTCTTGCTCTGATGGCCTTTCGTGTCTTTGAGCGGTTTTACTGAACGGTGTTCCTGTGTCTGTTTCTGTAACGCACCATCCCAAAGGGTGCTCACAACAGCAATCATGATTGGTGGCTGGGGTTTCATCATCTTGAAGACTTCCTCACTCACACACATGGCACCTGGCCACTGGCTCCTTGAATCTCTCTCTCTGTCTCTCTCTGTCTCTCTTTCTCCATGGCTACCACTCAGGGCAACTAGCCTTTTTATGGTGGCAGAAGGTTGTCACAGTGAGTATCTCAAGAGCAACAGTAAGGCAGAAGCTGCAATGTCTTTGTTATCTAGCCTTGCAAGACATGCTGCATCACTTCTGCCACATTAGACTTGGCAGGAGTGAGTCGCTGAGGCCAGCCCATAATCAACGAGCTGGGAATCAGATTCCGTCTTCTGAAGGAGGGGTGTGTTGATGAATTTTCAGACATCTTTTAAAACTTCCATAGATGGTATATAAGAAATCTCTAAGCCAATTCTCTCTTCTGCGCACTGCCCATACCAGGTCCGTGAGAAGCACACAAGCATTCCGTGCCCTGCCTGACCTCGAGAGAGCAAGCCCACCCCTGCTCGGCGGTAACTCCTGTCTTCACTCCTCCGCCAGATCGGGTCACCAGCTTGGCTCTTAAACTTCGGTTTCCTGGATGGGGCTCAAACTTGAGTCCTTGATGCCCCTCCCTGCAAAAATAGGAAGCACATACCAAGCTCTCTGAGGGGTACACTTTGAAGTAACTCTAATTGCACTTGAAGTGATGAGCAGGCATTCTTCCCCCTCCCCTTAATCCCACCACCAAGGGCTAAGTCAGTGAGTATACAGTAGAAATGAATTGATAGTCACCAAAATCAAGTTTTGAAGAATACTTGTAGGCATGGAAAATATTTTTTTTCTTAAATTAAGTCAAATGAAGATAGGATTTTAAAACTGAAGATGGCTAAGCTATATGTTTAAGCTAGAACTATATGCTTCTTTCAGTTCTTTTTGTTTATTAGATTTCAAAGATCTATTTGAAATTTTTTGCTCTTTAGACAAAGGAATCAGAGAAAAATTAAGTAACTGAACAGGAGTCACCTAATCAGTCAGTGGAACGTTTAATCACAAGACCTAGCTATCACAACTTCGCGTATCAGGATTCAATCTCATGTGATCACAATGCTTTTAGTGAAGTTATATCCTAACATCTGCCTCAACGCTTGTTTGTTTAAATGATCAGAAAACAAACAAAAAATTCCAGATCCTACTAGATTCTATTTTTCGTTTTCTAAACATTCATGAATGTATTTTAACAAATGCCAATTTTTAGCAAGCAAATACTACTGAGAAATATTTTTTAGGATGGAGGGATCTACCTAATGTGGTTGAATGCCACTGGCTTGAGGAGCTGCAAAGTGAGAAGCAAAGTGCTTTTGAGACAACCCAGGACATGGTGTTGAAAAGTTACGTGTGGAGTTAAGTAAAGGTTGAAGGCAGTGTGGATTCACAAGGCAAGTACAGTAACCAAGTCCCATGATCCATCACCTTTAGGTTTGTTGTGTTTTGCTATGACAACTGCTTATCTTTGTTAGATGCTTTTGAATCCACAGCTGACACTTGAGGGTGTGGCTTTTCTTAACTGGTTTGACAGACAAAGACTGAGAATGAAAATTCAGCAACACGGCAAGAGATTTCCGTATGGAGGATATTAGGGATTTTTTTTTTATAACTGCTCTCTTTATGATCACACAAGTGATGTCAAAAAGATACTTTGGTGGTATATATACTAAAGTCGGAACAATACAGAGAAGATTAGCATGGCCCCTGCGCACAGATGACACACAAGTTCATGAAGCGTCCACATTTCTTTAACAACAAAGACACTGCATAGGGAACACCAGTTACACTGAGCTCTGCTATTCATCAATAAGATGCAAATTTGATCAATCACCTAAAGCTAATTTGAACCCTTTAGAGCTAAAACTGGTGCTATTCCTAGCATGATAATTTAGAATCAGTAATAGAAAGATCAAACAATTGGCCTCTAGCCCTTGTGCTCAGGCAAATTAGACCAACCTGAGGTCCCAGTGCCAGATTGCAGGCCCTGGCATGCAGCCCTGAGTCTGCATGGTCATCTTATCCACTGGTACAGCCTTAGTCCCAGTCTTCTTCTTAGACCATCAAAGGACTCCACCATTTTTGTGACCAGTCTAGAAGAGGATGACAACCCTCCAGAGGCCAGACAAATAATATGACAAGTGAGGTGGCCTGGTGACTGTGGCCTCAGCAGCTGTGCTGCCCAGACGTTTGCCACAGTAGAGGTTAGGCCCATGTGCACCAGATCTTCCAATGCTTAGGGCAAACTAGAAATCTGGAACTTAAGGCTTTTTGAATTTTTCTAATTCCAGAAAGTGTCTACATTCTGGAAAGTACAAATAATGCACATCTGTGAGCCAAATGTGACCTGTAAGCTACTTCTTTGCCTTCTCTGTCCTGGAGGTTAGTTGGAACACTGGGAGAAAGACATTTGTCTTGACTAGGACTAAAACTTTCCCCACCAAGCCCACAGTTGTAGCCATTGTGTTCAGAATTGGAAAACTTTTTTTTAATCCTCACCCAAGGACATTTTTCCATTTTTTGTTCAGATAGAGTAGGAGAGAGAGAGAGAGAGAGAGACATTGACGTGAAAGGGACACATCAAGTGGTTGCCACCTGCACAACCCAACCAGGGCCGGGGACAAACTGCAACCGAGGTGCGTGCCCTTAGCAGGAACCGAACCCCAGTCTGTCTGGACCACAGGCCGATGATCTAACCACTGAGACAAACTGGCCAGGGCAGGAAAACTTCTTGAGGGTCACTCTCTCTGTTTGAGTTCCAGCTGCTTCTCTTGATCAAGATGGATGGGGAATTGGGTACAATACTTTCTAACCCACAGTTCAGGGAGCTTTGCCTCTGCCCCCTGGTGGTGCAGAGCCAACAGCATCTTTGAAGTCCTCAACAGCCCTGTTAAGGCCTACCATGGATCCTGGCATCGTTCCTTCCTACAGTTCAGCTTTAGAATGAGACTTGCTTCCACACAGAGGAACTCTATGTTGATGGTTCTCTGTGTGGTTTACGCATCAGAATAATCTGAGCGATAATTTTTAAAACAGTCCCTGGTCTTACCCAGGAGAATCAGATTTAGTCAAAGGGTGTGATGTCAGGCAGCAGTTCTCAAATGTTTTATTCTCAGGACCCCTCTGTCTCCTTAAAAATTACTAAGGATCCCCCAAAGCCTGTGTTTATATGGGTTATATTTGTTTATTCTTACTATATTAGAAATTTAAACTGAAAAATTATATAACATATATGTATCAATTCATTTAAAAATTAAACTCATTGTGCCTTAATATAAATACATTTGTGTGAATAATAAATGTATTTCTCAAAACAAAATTTATGTCATGGGAAGATTGACATTACTTTACAATTTTGCAAATTTCTTCTATGTCTGGCTTAATAAGCAACTGGATTCTTCCATGTGCTTTTCTATTCAATCCATTAACATATGTTGTTTTGGTTGAAAAAAAATGAAGAAATTGTGACCTTCAAATTTGTAGTTGAAAAAGGCAGACATATTTTAATAGCTTGTTTAGATAATTATAGATATTGTTCTCTAATACTACACTCAATGAGTGATGGTCTCTTAAATGTTAGCTGCAAGGTGAAATCTTAAATCAAATCCTCTTTGTACTTAGTTACATTAAAATCCACTTATCTTTGGTCACTTTTAAGGGATTTTTTACCCGAGTGATTCTATAACATCATGCATTTGTTATTTGAAAAATATTTGTTCATAGATCTTCTAAATGTTGACACACATTTCATTATACAGTATCATCACATATCATGTAGCCACGGGAAAATCCCATTGAACACTGTGAGAGAATGAGAGTAATAAAAACAAATAATGTCTTAGTATTATTATGAAAGCTTTGACCTCTATGGACCCACTGGTGTAGCAAAAAGAGCCCTTTCCTAGAAATATACAGATCTGGATTCTCCCTCACACTGTGCTACTAACTAGCTCAGTGACCTTAAGATACTTTCTTAGCCCTGGCCAGTGTTGCTCAGTGGTTAGAGCATTGGCCCACACACCGAAGGGTCATGGGTTCAATTCCCAGTCAAGGGCACATACCTGGGTGGCAAATTCAATCCCTGGCCCCAGTCAGGGTACATGCAGGAGGCAACCAATCAATGTGTCTCTCTGAGATCAATCTCTCTCTTTCTCTCTCTCTCTCTTTCGCTCGCTCCTCCCTCCAACTCTCTCTAAAAATCAATGGAAAAAAATATGTCCTAGGGTGAGGATTAACAGCAACAACAAAAAAAGTTTTCTCACCTTTCTATGGCCCAGTTTCTCAACTGTAAAATGGGGGTCTGGAACTCAAGCCAGTGTTTATCAGTGGGGCACCATTGGCTCTCAAAGCAGACAAATTTGTTTTTGTGAGGGACCGTCCCTCAGGCTATCGGATACTCAGCATCCCTGACTCTCCCACTGGACATGAGTAGCGCCACACCCCACCTTCAGCTACTGTGCCACACTCGGACCCTCAAGAGAACCCTCTGGAGGGTGATGGTGCCTCCAGTCCAGACCTATGGGATTAAACAAACTAAGTTTCCATCCCATTTTGAAGCCAATTCTGTTAGAATAACAACATATTATACAATGTCGATATGCGGGTGTACACATCTATTTAGGTGTTACAGACATAAATCTATTTGATGTGAACAAACAGTGACTACTCTCGAGATGCAGAAGGTAACAAAAGTAGGAGACGAGAGAGGGGCAGGGAGAGAGGTAGAAACAGGGAAACAACTCACATTCTCTTGGCCACATTCTGACCAGCGCAGGATTCTTGAAACCTTCCACAGAGGCCAGTGCTGTGCAGTCGCTGTGCCACTGGCAGAGGTGTGGGAAGGAGGAGCGGGGTTCTGCCCAGGCTGCCAAGCTCCAGGGAACACGAGGAGGGCCGTGCAGTTGCCCTCGGCGCTCTGCTTCCTGCCCCGCAGGGCACCGCGGCCGCGCCAGCCTGCCTCCCCGAGAGCCTCCGCTTGCCAAGTGAGAGTACAAGCACCTACTTTTGTGAGGATTACATGTGTTAATGCACACAAAGCACTTGGAACGCTGTGTGCTGAAGGGTAAGGAAGCAATAAATGTCCATTAATAGTGTTACTAAGGAAAGGCAGGAAGCCACGCTCCCTTCCACCGAAACCTCGGGCCACCTTGGACGTGTTGTTCACTTTTCCCTGCTAAGGTTTCCATTCTTTCCCCATAAGGCTGGACATAAAGCCGATTTTATCTTACTTTTATGTGTACATGTGGGATGTGGGTTACCATAGAAGGAAGTGCCATCTTGTAACCTTGGATGGCTTCGGCACGGAGCTCTCAGGGAGCCCTTGTGATGTCCACTCTAAGTGGAGGCAAAGACATTTCCCAAAGCCCAATGGAGCTGGCACACCAGAATTTGGTTGGAACACCCATTTTTATCCTAATTTTTTTCCTTTATTGATTTTAGAGAGAGAGGAAGAGAGAGATAGAAACATCAATGAGGGAGAACATCGATTGGCCGCCTCCTGCATGCCCCCCACTGGGGATCGGGCCCACAACCTGGGTATGTGCCCTGACCGGGAATCGAACCAGCAACCTCTTGGTGCATGGGTCAACAATCAACCACGGAGTTACACCGGCCGGACGGAACACCCATTTTTAAATGAGGCTAATCTGAAACTCTCTCCTTTGGCAATGAATCCCCCCCAGATGCAGGCCAAAATTGCAGTAAGGACTGAGAAGAGAATTCCAGATTTTTTTTAAAAAGAGACGACCTTGCCAGCGCTTTTCCATAGTCAGCATCTGAAAAGGTTTGGCGGTGAATCCTGGAAGAACGCTTCCTCTTCTTGAACTGCAAAGCGGTATCTTCTTCCTCATCCCCCTCCAGAAGAAAGAGGCTGATTCGGATTCATTCGTCCTGCTCTTTGCAGAACCTCCCCCTAGGCTCCAGAGAATATTTATTCTCACATCACCAGAGAAATGAGGGTGGTGAGGAGATAAAACAGTTACCTACCTCTAGGGGCAATTGTGCAACTATTTGCAACTTGGCTTCCGGAGGACTCCCTGAGTTCTGAGAAGAATTCTGACAGATGTGTGTATTTCATCAGCTTGCGGAGATCGGGGGAAGGTGACCTCATGGAAAAGCTTCTGTATGTTTGTGCGTCTGAATAAACACTCTCTGGTGGAGCTTCTGGGTCTGTGTTCCTTACTTCCATTCTTAAGTGGTTTAGAAATTTAGCCACTCTTTCCTGAAGCTTCTACCGAAGACCAATTTAAGTGCTTGATGGGGAATTGGCAAAAAGATTTTAAGGTCTCTTCCAACTCTGTACGTGTATGAATTTACATATTTCTAGAGCTGGCAATGGCTTCGAATTCATCCTGTTCAACCCTTTTATTTTTGACATGAAAGCTGAAGCCAGAGAGGCTAAATAAACTTCCTAGATCAGAAATTTCTTCCATAGCAAGGATGAGTTGAACACCATAACCCTTTTTACTACTTATTCCGGGGTTCTTGCTGCGGTCCATGTGCTCCCCTGGAGGTGTGTAGCTATGTACACAGCTACACAAAAGTGGCAGGATTCAACCTGGGACATCTTCCGAGTTTTCGATTTTACCCTGAGGCCAATACTTAAAACAATTTTTCTATCATATGTACCACTGTTTATATCGCAGGTACTGCTGTTTATATCACATGTACCACTGTTTATATCCCATGTACAGCTGTTTATATTCCATGAACCGCTGTTTATGTCACATGTACCACTGTTTATATACATGTAC